GGCTGCTTCTCCCTGCGCCCCACCTCGGGGCCTGCCTGCTGGTCCCCACCCCCTCAGGAAGTGGGGAGGGAGGAACAGGGGCTTTGCAGTCTCCTATCCAGGCTGGAATTTTTGTTCCACTGTCACTAGCTTGAATTCTCACAGAGCCTCACAACCTTTCCCCTCACAGGGTGGCCCTGAGGTTCTGGTGAACTCAGGTGAGAAAGTACTATGGGGCTCTCCTGGCTGTATTTCTGTAGAAAGCCCAAACTCAGCTTTATGATGCTAACGGTAAATGCTCGGTCAATGCCGGCCCTGTGGTGGGTATGCACTAGCCTCACTCAGTCCCGTTTAATTTCATCCCCACAATGACACGTAGAGGTAGGTGTTAGAATCCCGTTCTTACAGATGAGGAGACTGAGGCCCACAGAGGTTGAGCAGCTTGCCCAAGGTCACACGAGTCAGTTGTGGAACCGAACTTGAACCCAGGCCAGGCCGACTCCTAAGGCCTGTGTACAGACAGCCTCATGTCATGGTGGGTCGGTTGAGAGGTCACGCAAGCCTGCTCCTTCCTGCCAAGACAGGTGGGTCTCCTCTGCTCTAGGCCTGTTGTTCCAGATGGTTCTTGAAGGCACTAAGATCTCTCTGCTGGCTGGTCTCATTTCCTGGCTCATCACTGTAGGCCACACCTTTCTCCAGGAGTCTTCCACAGTTCCTGGAGACTCCTTGGCCCCTGTCCCTCTGACTCCACCTAGTACTTTCCACCCACTTCCTTTGGCCCCATGGGTCGCATCACCCAAGCCACTGTCATTCTACTCTCCCTTTCTGCTGTTCTTCATGTCCTTTCTGCCTCGTCTTCAAGCCTCAGCTCTAGAGCCACCCTGTCTCTCGCACTTTCCTTCCTTTTCCTCTTTCGTAGGTGTTTTTTGGCATCTGCGCTGTGGCAGGCCTGAGTCTGTCCCTGTCCCGTGGGAATGCCTGTCTGATGGCGGAGGTGGCTCACAAAACAGTGACCACACAGCCTGGTTAGGGCTGTGATAGAGACAGACGAGGTTGCAGGGCCAGGGAGGCCCTAACTCTCTTTGGGGAAGAGGTAGTGGGGGCTTGAAGAGGGTGGATGAAGGGCTCACCTGGCGCATAGGGCAGATAAAGGGATCCTAGGCAGAAGCAGCACCCACATGGTGGGGGGATGGAGCTGGGTGAGAGTGGTGCTCTGAGGAATGGCATGTGGTCTCTAGCTTGGGAGAGCAGCTGCAGGACCCGCAGAGTGGAGCCTTGATCCTGAGAGCAGCAGGGAGCCATTGAGGAATCTTGAGCAGGGGAGGTGTCTGGTCAGGCTTGCTCTTCAGAAAGGTCTGTGTGGTCCTGAGGGACAAATGAAGTCCCACAGTGGGGGGAGTTATAAAGACTGGACCTAGTGTCCCTGCAAGGCAGGATACGGAAAGCTATGGTTGTCATGTTGGTGGATTTGCTGTTGGAAAACACGGGCCTGGTGCTTGTGGAAGCTAGAAGGAGGTGGAGAGACTGGAGGCCTGTGGACAGGCTGTGGGAACAATCTAGTGAGCTAGCAGTGCCTAGGGGGGACCTGAGGGTTTAGGGAGGTGGGCCTACAGTGGGGTCAACAGTCCTCACCCTCTGCCTTCCTTGTGAGGATCCAGTGGGGTGGTAGACATGAAAATCGGTTTGTGAAGCAGGGACATGGGACTTGGTAGTTGGAAGAGAGAGGAAATCGGGGTTAAGTCTGTTGGTATGGGGTTGCTGTCACAGGAGGGCTCATCCTGGCTCCTCAGCTGTGTGACCCAGGGCCAGCCTTTCCCTCTGTGTGCGTCATTCTCCCTAGCTATGAAGGATTGGGTGAAGTGGTCCCTCCTGCTCTGACCCAGCAGGTCTGTGACATGGCTGTGGCCCAGGAGGAGGGACACAGGGCCCATGGTGTAGCCAGCTGAGGCCAGGTCTGGGCTGACCAAATCTGGCCAGGTCTGCTGTGGTCTGGGGCCAGTGTAGGCACATCTACCCTCTGAGAGGGCACAAACTCTGACCCCCAGATGCCCTCCCCACCTTCATAGCAGGCTCTGCCCTCCCAGGCAGCTGTTTTGGCTCAGCCTGGCCTGGCCGCCCCAGGCCTTGACTCCATCCAGGGCCTCTGCTCTCCCTGTGACTGGCCCTGGGAGGAGTGACCTGGCTCTGGGGCCCCATTGGCTGAACGTGGTCTGGGCTGCACACGCCCCTGCCTCCCAGGCTGGCTGCCTGCCCAACTTGGGATGGGAGGAGGGCCAGCCTGGCCTGCCATGACATGGGCAAACTGCCTTGGAGCTAAGGAAGGAGTTGGAGTCTGAGAGGCCGTGCCTGGGGCCACTGGTGCTGCTCTGTCCCCTCCACTCATGCTCCAGCCCAGGGGCTCTGCGCCCCTCTCTTGGATGAGAGTGGGGGATGGCCACAGTGGGTCTTGTCCCTCAGTTTGCCTGGGAGCTCAGCCCTGCTCAGAGGAGCATGGTATTTCCTGTCTGATAGCATGGCAGGACCTCTCAGCTTTCTCAATGGAAATGTCAGCTGGGCATGCGAGAATCCTGTAGGGGCAGAATCCAGTCCTGGAACGAGGACCGGGGGTGCTTTAGGGATTGGCAATCTTCCCCTGCCCCTGCCTGCCCAGTGAGTGACAGATGAAGTTCAGGAGAGGCAGGGACGTGCTCAGAATCACATAGCACCAGAGGGACAGGGCTAGGATTTGAACTCAAGTCTGTCTCTGCTCATCCCTCCACAAACCTTTGATGAGGTCCTACTGTGGGCCAGGCCCTTCTAAGCATGAGCACTAGAGTAGGAGCTTCTCAGAGGGAATGGACCAGTTTATCTTTGTTCTCTTGACGTTTGGTCTCAGGGCACAGAGGAAGTGCTCAGTGAATGAATGAATGAATGAATGAATGAACAAATAAGGCAAAGATCCTGCCTCCTCCAGGCCTGTAGAGTCCAATGGGAGGGTAGCGACTCCTTTTCATAGAACAGGAAATAGGAGGCTGTTGAGAGTGGAGACTGACCAGGTGAAAAGCAGAGGGAGGACTGGAACTCAGATGTCCCACCTGCTGGTCTAGGGCTGTTTCCATCCTCACTTTCCACATCTGTAAAATGGGGTCAATAGTCCTCACCCTCTGCCTTCCTTGTGAGGATCCAGTGGGGTGGTAGACATGAAAATTGGTTTGTGAAGCAGGGACATTGCGTGTAGGGCTTCCTTGTGTGCATGCCTGGAACTGCCCAGAAATCCCATTATGTTCTGCTCCCTTTCTTCTGACCGCTTACCCTTTGCATCTTGCTTCCCCCATTTCCCTAGCTTGCTCTATGGCTTCTTTCTGGAATGTTCTGCCCAGAACCCCTAGCTGTGGGACAGGTTGGGAAGAGTACGGGTGACTGGAGTCTCTCTGCCTCCTCCCTCTACCATCTCCCGCACCCAGAAAGGCAGCCATGCAGCCACATCTATGTGGGCCTCCAATGCACAACAGGCCGGAAATGCCTTGGCAGTGGTTACCATGGTGACAGGTCCTGCTGCTTGGACCACAGTGGTCTGCCAGATACCTGCAGGAGCCTGCAAGCCTGGCAGCCTGGCACCCTGCAGGGCCTCTTCCCAGGCTGAGTGCTCCTGGGGCTGCCTCGTCTCTCTCCTTGATGCCGAGCACTGTACCTCATACCCAGGCGTTCTCAGGAATGAGCTGCCTCTCTGGGGACCCATAAGCTGTCCTGGGTCAGACAGGCCTGGTTTGAATCCCAGTTCTGCTACTTGGGGGTCGGTGACCTTGAACAAGTCACCTTGGCGTGTTTTGAATTTGTTAAATTGGCTATGGAGCCTCATGGGGGAACTTAGCCAAGGAGGACAGACCCCAGCACAAGAGCCATCCTTGCTCCCGTCTGCAGCTGTGGTGGGGTCAGTGTTGGGTCGTGGCACTGGGGCATCTCAGCCCCAGCAGTAGACAGTGTAGTGTGGTGGGTAGGACCTCAGACTCTGTAGCCAGACCTTGGGCCACAGCCGTGCTCGCCACTTCCTGGAGCCTCCCCTGCAGAGTGAGGGTAGCGATGAACCCACCTCAGGGGTTTGTTGAGTGGATAAAATGGAATTGGGACATGCGAAGTGCTTAGAAGAGTATTTGACGCCTAGGAAGCGTGCTGTAAATGTTGGCAGCAACTGTCCCAGTGGCCACGAGAATTGGAACTCGTGTCCCTTCTCTCACACAGGCAGGGGTACTCAGCTCTCGTTCACAGCCTGTTAGGGAGAGCGGGCCAGAGAGACAGGAGGCCCCCTTCCTCATCCCACCCCATCCAGAGTACTGCCAGGTCCCCCCCATCCCTTCTGCCTGGGGACAGGCAAGCTAGGCCCTGGGCAGAAACTCCACCTCCAGTCCGAGTTTGAGGACTTTCTCTGCTGTTCCTCCAGCCGGCCACTGCTGTCGCCCTGGCCTGGATCAGACAGCTGGTTGGTGGCGGCCCAGAGCCCTCCCGGTCAGGAAAGCCAAGTGCTGGGGACAGATGAACAGCCAACTGAGGTGCCACCTCTGATGTCATCTGAAGAATGAGGGAGCCCGAGGAAGGGCGCTCAGGGGGTGAAATAGGAGCTGCTTCTGGGGACACTATATTGGGGACAGATCCCCAGACCTGACTGCTAGAGTGCTCACCAGGCCTCCCTGCATGGGGAGGGGCGGGGATCTTTCAAGAATGAAGGTCAGTCTGAGGCACAACTTTAGCAAGCTGGCCCACGAGCCGAAGGGAGGACTGAATCTCTCTCCCCCTCCCTCAGGCTCAGCCAAGGTCCTGCTAACATGGAGTTGGTGTCCAGAAGGAAGCTGGGCGGAACTGGCATCCAGTGAGCCCCCTGGGCTCCGAGTGCCTGGGCTGGAGGGGGGTGGCCGCTCTTGGAGTTGGGGTCTGGTGGGAGGTGGCCCCGGGGTGCTCTCCGCTCCCCCTCTGGCGCTCAGTCTTGGGACGCGCAGACCTGGGAGAGCCTGCAGCGAGCTGACCTTTCTGTCCCCACCTTTTCCCAGGGCATCGCGTCTGTGTTCTCGGGCCGCACGTCCCGGAAGTCAGCCTCTCGCGCAGAGCACGCCGACGGTGCCATGGTGGACAGTGAGGGGTACCGGAGCCCCACGGAGGTGCAGATGAGCCAGATGGTGCTGCCTTGCCACACCAACCAGCGCGGCGAGCTGAGTGTCGGGCAGCTGCTCAAGTGGGTCGACACCGCCGCCTGCCTGTCCGGTGAGGCTCCGCCTGGCACGGTGCCCTCCCGCCGGTGGCCGCCACCCCGGGGAGAGGCCTCGATCATCAGAGATGGTCACTGTCCCCCCGAGCGCCACGCTCATTCCTCATCCTGCTCTCTGCTCACGCTGGTCCACCTGCCGGAAATGTCCCCTCCCAGTTCTCGATGCTCAGCTCGGGCCCACCCTCTCTCCCCCAGACGCCCACAGCTCTGAGGGCTGGCCTGCACCCTCGGGTCCCCGCTCCCACACAGTGCCGCCTCAAGTGGGGCTGCCCCAGGCTGGCCTGAGGGCGCCGTGAGCCAGGGCCACGGCTGCCTGCCTTCCTGAGTTGAGTGGAGCTGAAGCGAGCTCACTCCTCTCCTTTGGGAGGCTGAGTGTTCTCCAACCCACAGGGAGCTCGCAGCCCAGTGGGGGCACAGACAGGTGACTTCCCTGCACTGCTTGATGGGGGCTGGGCAAGAGGCACAGTTGGGTCTGTGGGAGAACAGATCAGAGGCCCTGCCCCTGCCCCAGCAGGGGAGGGATTCCCAAGGGACTAAGGCGGCGGCGGTGAGCACAGTCCCGAGGGTAAGAGTGACTCAGCCAACAAAACAGAGGTGGGTGAAGCCCACGGCAGAGGCCAGAGGCGTGGCACCTGGGAGAGCTGGGAAGTGGAATAGCCCAGGGTGATCACTCAGTCGTTCAACAGCCACACTTTGGGTGTCTACCTCGGGCCAGGCACTGCTCCCGGCCCAGGGCCCAGCAGTGAACAAGACGGGCAAAACTCCCGGCCCTCAAGCGACTTGCCGTCTCCCAGCAGGGAGAGACACCAGACAGACAAAACCAAGATAAACAAAGAGGGTCAGTGTGTATTAGTAATCGAGGTGAAGAAAGAGGAGGGCGGGGGTGTGGGCCAAGAGGCACAGCCTTAGCTCAGGCCACCTGACCATCGCTCAGAGGCCTGGTGACATGGGGATGCTGCTAATGCACGGCTTTCTTCCGATACCAGCCGAGAGGCACGCTGGCTGCCCCTGCGTCACCGCTTCCATGGACGATATCTACTTTGAGCATACCATTAGGTAAGTGGCCCCCCCTGCTTCTTGGTCCCCTTGGTCTGCCCACCACAGAGCCGGGGCCCCTCCTCCATCTCCCCACCTGGTCGGCCTGTGAGCTGCCTGGAACCCTGGAATCCGACTCGACTGACTGAGGGCCTCTGCAGAGCAGGTACAGGCCCGTCTGCAGGGGTCTGGGGGACCCATGGGCCAGGAGCTGGCCTGCTGCTGGGTGCTGTGGGGTGGGTTCCCGTGACCAGGTTTGCGGTTGGACGTTGCTGAGGCGGCATCGTGGGGTGCTGTGTGACTTCGGGGAAGTCAGTCTCTTTCTCTGGGCCTCAGTTTTCTTATCTGCCAAATGGAAGGGATTAGACTTAATCGGTGCTTGTCCTTTGGAACTTGGATATTCTCTGGGGGCTGTTGGTCACTGGACTGTAGAAAGGTTTCTAGGCAAGGTCCTTTGGCAAAGCCTGAGTCAGAAGCTTGGGCCATTCAACCTCTGCTTACATACCTTCTGGAGCGAGGAGTTCACTACCTCACAGTTTTGTTTTGTGGTTGCCTTTTAAAATGTCTATCCCGGTTAGAAAACTCTCCATCACCCTGTGCCAAGCTTTGCCTCCACTTAGCTTTGCTGGGACTCATGGAGCATGCCAAGCCCTTGGCCCAGGACAGGCCGCAGGGGGTGCACAGTGTTCTGGCCTCCAGGACCGCTCCTGAACTCAGCATCAGTGCCTAGGACACCAGACGCCAAGGGCTGATTCAGGGCTTTCTGGGTACCCAGCATGTTGCGGTTAAGGAGAGAATTTGGCCAATCCCTGTCTTCATTTATTCGGTCCTTTGTCACGACTAGCATCTGTTCCGGACCAAGGCCCATTCTGGGTTTGGGGTATGCAAAGTCAACTGGAGCATAGTGCTTGTGCCCCAGGAACTCCCATTTGTCAGGAGGCAAATGTAGAAACATAATTTCAATTCAGAGGGGTACCTGCCTTGCTAATAATGAACTCTCACATATGGATGCTTTGTAACACTTTTTCTAAATATCTTTTATTTCAGTTTTTGATGTACAAAAAAGTTGTATCTCAGAAGATCATAGGGAGAGTTCCTACGTATCTCACACCCAGCACCCAGTTTCCCTATTATTAACATTTTAATTAGTACAGTACCTTTGTCACTATGAATGAACTAATATTGATGTGTTATTTGTAATGCCTTTTTAATACATTAACTCATTTAATCCTCGGAACAATGCTACGAGGTTCTGGCTATTAGTATCCTCATTTTACAGATGAAGAAACTGAAGGTCATACAGCTAGTGGAGGACCCAGGAGCCCCAGAGCTCTTGTTTTTAACCAATGGGCCACATTTCCTATATGTCTGGGGGTGAGTGTGATGGCATAGAGGGTAGTCAAAGGGGGCGCCCTGGAGGAGGTGTTCGAGCTGGCTTCAGTACCATCAACACCATATGTATGACATTCTGAAGGCCAGAGGAGCTGTGTCTGGGCCAGTTCTAGGTCTCTGCTGCCAACACAGTTTTTGGCACTCAGAGGAGGCAGGGAGGAGAGGGCTGGGGGTAGGGAGTGGGCATGCATGATGGATGTACCTGCTGCAGGACTCAGAGAGTGAAGGTGAGTCTGGGCCAAGGAGGGTGTGTGTGGGAGGAGAAGCCAGAAAGGATCCTGGGAAGGAGGGCAAGCTAGGGATGGGTCAGGAGCAAGGTTGGTGAGGAAAGGCCTGGCTGCCCCTGAGGCAACCTGCAGAAGGTTTTTTGGTTTGTTTTTGTTTTTGCCATTTAAAAATATTTCAAAATGTATCTCTAAGTGGTAAGAACTCCTTTAAGCATAACCTCAACATCATTGCTACACCTAAACAAAATTAGCAATAATTTCTCGTGAACATCAAATAGCCAGTCAGCATTCAGGGGCTGTCTCCTAATTTTGTTTTTATTTTGTTTTGCTTTATAATTATTTTTGTTGTTCAAGTCAAGATGCAGATAAGGTTGCAACTGATTGCTGTGTCTCTTAAGTCTTTTTTTTAAGATTTTATTTATTTATCTGACAGAGAGAGAGACAGGAGAGAGGGAACACAAGTAGGGGGAGTGGGAGAGGGAGAAGCAGGCTTCCCACTGAGCGGGGAGCCCGATGCGGGGCGTGATCCCAGGACCTTGGGATCATGACCTGAGCCGAAGGCAGCCACTTAACCGACTGAGCCACCCAGGCACCCCTCTTAAGTCTTTTTTATCTATAGGTGCTCCCCACCCCCGCCCAGCACCCTGTCCCCTCACCATCTCTCTCCTTTTTTCCTCAGAATTTATTTGTGGAGGAGACCTGGTTGTTTGCCCTCTCAAGTTCTCCACCATCTGGGTTTTGCTGTTAGCATCACTGTGGTGTCATTTAATATGCTCCTCTGTTCCCTGCCAGTAAATTGGTCCCGGGGAAGGGCTTGCACAGGGCTCAGATTGTTTGCAGGAGCTGTCTTTCTGTGATGGGAGGAACACCCAGAGGGTGTGTTGGGGAGCTAGACTAGGCGGAGGCTGGGCAGTGACCCTGGGGAAGGAGCCAGTTTTGGCCTGAGCTGTGGGATGGAAGAGTCAGGAGGAAAGAGGAGCTCGGGAGTCCAAATGGTTGTCTGCCTGGCTTTGGGGGAAGCTAGTCAGGGGGAGGGAGAGCCGGGGCCAGGGGCAAGGAGGGGAAGAGGAGGAGGAGGAAGAAGAAGAGGGGGAAGAGGAAAAAGAGGAGGGAGAAGAGGAAGAGACACAAGTATCTCTTTTTGGAGGTGCCTGGGTGGCTCAGTCGTTAGGCATCTGCCTTCAGCTCAGTTCATGATCTCAGGGTCCTGGGATCGAGCCCCACATCGGGCTCCCTGCTCGGCAGGGAAGCCTGTTTTTCCCTCTCCCACTCCCCCTGCTTGTGTTCCCTCTCTCGCTGTGTCTCTCTCTGTCAAATGGATAAATAAAATTTAAAAAAAACAACAAACAAAAAACCCCACAAATCTCTCTTTTTTTTTTAGCACCACAGAAAATAGGCTTATTTTTTATTTTAGGGATCATGGAAATTTTTTCCTAATTTCTTATCATGAAAACTCTTAAAACTCTAGAAAACTTGAATAGTGCAATGGTCACCACCAGTGAGATTCAAGAGTTAACATTTTTTTTTGCTAAATATGCTTTATCTATATATGGATAAATAAATACACATACTTCTCTCTCTCTTTTTTCAACTATTTGAAAGTAAGTTGCAGACATCTTGATACTTCATCCCTCCACGTGTCAGCGTGCATCTCCTAGAAATGACAGTCCTTCCATGCCGATTAGGACTGCTGACAGAATCAACAGAAATGGACAAGTCCTTGGCAAACATGAGCTTCTGTTATTTATGGGGGGCCAGGCCTGGCGCTGGCTCTGTCACATCCCCTCTCACTTGACCCTCAGTAGTCGTGCATCTCGGTACTTTACAGACAAGGAGATAGGCTCAGAGAGGCAAAGTGACTCATCCAAGGTCACGCAACTCAGGAGTGTGACAGTCATGCTGGAGCTGGACTGGAACCCAGGCCCATGTGGTTCTTCCCGCTGTGTCCACTGCCGCCCTTCGACAGGCAGGCCCCTTGGAAGGGACCCTTCCTAGTTTTGGCGAGGAGGCTGTGTATTTGAGGAAGAAATTTGCACAGTGCTCTCTATGTTTGTGAGCCAAGGCACAGAGAGATGAAAGGACTTGCTCAAGGTCGTCCCAGCCCCTGTCTGGCTCCTTATTATCCTCGTCTATCCTCTGGGCACCCTCTGCTGCCCCTAGTTAGACACGGAGCAGGCAAAGTGGCTCCTCTAGGGATTCTGCCTGTTCATCCGGACATGGGAATTATTCCAGAGGGACAGGCTGCAGCTGGAAAGAGTGGGGCCACTGTAGTGCACAGAACAGTGTAGAACCCTGGCTCTGTTACCTTTTAGTCGGGTGACCTTGGGCAGATGGCTTCCCGCTCTGATGTTCAATCCCCCTAAACCTACCTGGCAAGCTAATCTGGAGGCTCTAATGAGGTAATGCACGGTGCTTGGCACGGAGTAGGCTTGGCACAGAGTAGGTGTTCTTTAAATGTTTCCATTTTCCTTCCCACCCTCTGTTTATAACCCCTTGCACTTAGTAGGCATTCAAAAGATGTGGAGTGCATTGATCCAGTAGGCCACTATTTATGGAGGACCTACCCTGTGCCGTGTGCTAGGCCTTGAAGCGTCAATGGGGGGCAGGACAGATGTGATCCTGGCCCCAGTGGAGTTTAAGCGTTGTGGGGGAGACAGAGGTGCATCTGTTGGAAGAAATGTCAGGAGGGTGAATCTTATCGAGTGACAGAGGGGAAGGGCAGGTTCCCTGAGGAGGGAACTGTCGAGCCTCAAGCAAAGAGAAGCTTGAACATTCATTGGACAAGGGAGAGATGAATGAAATCGTGCCACTTCTCTCAGCCTCCGCCTCCCCACCTGTAAAATGAGGTGCTAACGCTGTCTCGCCAGCTTGCCTTGAGGACTCAGTGACATTGCTGATGTGAACATGGTCTGTAAGCCATGACATTGCCCTGCCAGTTCCCCCAGCAGAGGCCCTACAAGTATCTGGGGCCCCTCTTCCTTCCCTCTCTCCCTTCTGGAAGGCCCACCTCCTGCTTTTCTCTCCCCAGTGTCGGACAAGTGGTGAATATCAAGGCCAAGGTGAACCGGGCCTTCAACTCCAGCATGGAGGTGTGTGGGGTCGTTGCTGCCTGGTGGTGGGTAGCGGGGTGGCTGGGGTTTCTACCTCCTCTCCCTTCTCCGCCCCCAGCCTGGGCACACTCACACTCACAGGGCCCTGGTGGAGGCAGCAGAGTTCAGGAACAGCTGGCCGGGCTGGGAGGATCCTAAGGCTCTTCCTGTCCAATACCCCATAACACAGAAGGGAAAACTGAGGCCCAGGGAGGGGAAAAGACTTGCCCCAGGTCACCAGGTCACATAGATTCCAACCTGAGACTTGACTCTCAGCCTCCTCGGTCTTCACATCTCACCTCAGACCCTCTTCAGCAGCAGGTGGTCATGGGAAAGCGGGGAAGACGGCCGCTGGGCCTGACCCTGGAGGCAGCAGGGCTGGAGCAGAGAGAGCCTGGACTTCAGTGCATTAGCTTACCTCCCACAGCCTCTGTCTTCCCATCGGTGAAACGGGAGCATGATTCCTGTGCTGCAGGGTTCTTAAGTGAGCCCTGTGAGCTCTGGGGGAGAGACTCTCTTTCCCACCTGTGGATGGCAGTCCCGGGCAGCTTCCCCTAGCCGGGCCGCTGGTTACTGAGGGGCCACTGAGGCTGGGAGGGCAGAGTCCTGACTGCCTCTGGGTACCCTCTGGACACCCCCCCAGATGTCTGTCTTTTCAGTGTAGCCAACATTTTACCTACTTTAAGTCCTTTCCTAGATACAGTCTCATTTTCATTCTCTCCTAGGTATGATCATTCCCATTTCTTTCTTTCTTTCATTCATTCATTCATTCATTCATTCATTCATTCATTCATTCATTCATTCATATTTTAAGTAGGCTCCATGCCCAATGTGGGGCTTGAACTCACAACCCTGAAATTAAGAGTCACACGCTCTATCCACTGAGCCAGCCAGGCGCCCTGTGCTCACTCCCATTTTATGGATGAGGAAACCAAGGACCACAGAAGGGAAGTGACTTGCCCAAGGCTTTCCAGGGATCCTGGGGTAGAATCAGAACCTGTCTCAGGTTTCTGGCCTCCTAATCTCAGTAGGTGATACAGAAACATGAGGCCTGGCCTGGGGCAGGCCTTCCTGTCTCATGGATTGTGGAGCCTCAGGTTGGGACCTCCATTTCTCCCCTCCTCACTCCTCCTACCTTTTCTTCCTGTCCAGGTAGGCATCCAGGTGGCCTCTGAGGACCTGTGCTCTGAGAAGCAGTGGAGTGTGTGCAAGGCCTTGGCCACCTTTGTGGCCTACCGGGAGCTCTCCAAGGTACGGGGCTACACCTGGCCGCTCCATGCTGCTGGGCCACCTGGCTGCTTGTCATGGCAGGCCAGGACCAGGGTGATGAGGTTGGGGGTTAGTGGAGGGGCGGAGGTGGGGGAGCTTCAGGGAATTCACAGAGGAAGCTCCCCCCAACTGTGGCCAGACCTCAGGCACTTTCCCTCGCTCCTCTTCTCCACCTCTCCGTGTGCATCTCGTGGGATTCTTCAGATCTCACCATTCCCTTACGTGTCGTATAGACCCCGCCCCCCCCATCTTCTGTGCCTTTGCCCAAGAAAGGGGTCTGGGGACATTTGGAGAACGAAAGTGATATATCAGTCCACTTGGAGACAGGAGGATGGGGACAAAGAGGGGACGAAGACTTGTAACCATCCAGCAGCAGCCCCAGGTGTGCGATGAGGCACAGCCCCTCCTGCTGCTTCAGGAAACCTGTCCTAAGCATCCCCCCATGACACCCCCTGCCGCAGGTGAAGCTGAAGCAGACCACGCCACGGACGGAGGAGGAGAAGACGGAGCACAGCGTGGCAGCTGAGCGCCGGCGCATGCGGTTGCTCTACGCGGACACCATCAAGGACCTCCTGGCCAACTGCGCCATTCAGGATGGTGAGCGTCCGTGGGTGCGGAGGGCAGCTGACATCCTGCGTGCCCCCGTCTGTCCTCGGCCCCCACTGGGCAGTGGGAGGAAGGAGACTCCCATGCACTGGCCTGATGGCCCTCTCGTCTCAAGGTCTCCTTCAGGGCAGGGCATGCTTGGGCCTCTTGCTCAGCTCCCAGGAGCTGTGAAGACGGAATTAGGACATGAGGAAAACCCTTTGTTGTCCACAGAGTGTATTTGGATGTTTAGGATTCAGGGTATTTGGGAAGGTACTATTGAGCATGGCCTTGAAGACTATAGGATTTTTAAAAAAGCATATATATGTGTGTGTGTACACATATATACATATATATGCACACATATATACATATAGATATATGCACACATACATAAATAATATAGATATAGATATACATATAGAATAAAAACCGCAAAACTCTCTCTTACCCAGAACCCGGGCCTCCTCCAGTTACTCATTTTTGGGCACCTTTCCAGAAGATTCCCTGCATATTTAAACATACTATGTATTATTTAGCCCTCTCTTTTTACCCAAAAGGGAGCATACAGTACATACTGTTCTATATCTTACTTCTTTCTGCTTAAAGGTACATCTTGGAGATTGTTCTATACCAGCACACACAGATCTCCTGTGGACGGGTAGGATTTTGACAGATGGAAAGATAAGGAAAAGTTTTTCTTGATGGAGAACACAGGCTGGGCAAAGGCCCAGAGGGGTAACCTTGGATTCACTCACCGATCTCCAGAGCCGTAGGATGTGGAGTCTTCCTTGAACCGTAGAGGAGGCAATTGTAGGGCAATTCAAATGTAGTTCAGCTGCCCAGAGGGGGAGAAAGCAGGTGGGAGCAGTTGGCCCCAGTGAAGCAGCGAAAGGGGCTCCCAGTTCCGTGTACCTTATGTATACGGAGTCTGGGGGCTGTGGCTGAGGAGGTCCGGTTCTTCCTACTGTCTTTGAGATCCCCCCCAGAGCCATCCATCCACTGCAGCCTCCAAATGCCTGTTGTCCTGACAGCCCTTCCACCCAAGGGTTAGTCCAAATGCCTTAGCGTGGCATCCGGGCCCTTGGCTGGCTACTCAGCTTCACCTGGTGCTGACCTTTTACTTGCCCTTGGCTCCACCTAAACCAAGGCCTCGTTGCTTCCTGTGACTGTCCTACCCGTCCTGTCTCCAGATCTCAGCTCGGGCCCCCCTCCACCTCCCCTCCTGCCTGTCTGTGGCATCTTGGAGCAGGTGTAAGCCAAGCGAAAGGCCACCTCTCTGATGGGCCCTCCCTGATGAGGTCTCTCTTCCTGTCGGTGGGAGATAGACTGCACCTCCTTGGGTTGGGGGGTCATATCAGCATCTGCTCCTCTGACCCCCACAGCCCTGTCCACTCTTGGGCCTCTCCTACTGAGGATCTCCTGATGCCATTCCCCTGAGGGACAGGGCCTGTCAGGGCAGAGAGAGGGAAGAACTATCGTTTTGAGAGTCTGTCTCCTATGTTTGGTGCCAAGAACTCTAGAATCACGATCACGCTTCATCTTCACAATCCAATGGGTTGGGTCTGACATCTGCCCTTCACCAATGAGGAAACTGAGGGTCAGAGGGTCAGGTTCCCTGACTGCCTGTCGTACAACCTGTGTAGGGTGGTTCTGGGGTTCAGACCAGGTGTGTCTTCTCTGTAGGTGGGTGTCCCGCCCATTGCCCCGTGACAGCCTCACCTCACTCAGCCCGAGTCCCCCTTCTCCTCACTCTCAGTGCTGAGTCAATACAAGAATCTGGGTGATCGGGAATGCTGGTGGCGGGGGGGGGGGGTCCCTGGGTTTGCCCTGTGGGAGGGTCTGCCCTTGGGAACCTCTCCGCTTCCCACCTCCCTCCCTCTGCCCTTCCCGGGTCAGATCTGGAAAGCAGGGACTGCAGCTGCATGGTGCCGGCCGAGAAGACCCGTGTGGAGAGCGTGGAGCTGGTCCTGCCTCCTCATGCCAATCACCAAGGCAATACCTTTGGAGGTCAGATCATGGCCTGGATGGAGAACGTGGCCACCATCGCAGCCAGGTGAGGGGAGAGCGCTCTGTCTCTGCCTCCCCTCCTTTCTCTCCCTCTTTCCCTTGGCCCGCTCCTCCTGGGGGAGAAACCCCAGCTTGGTGTTGGCGTTCAAGGCTTCAGGAGCTTGGCTGTTCTGTTAGGGAAACCTAGGGCTTTCAGACCCAGAGAGCCAGAGAGGAGTGATTTTTCCTTGAGCTGGCCGTTCCCTCGGCGCAGTCCTCATCACCTGCGTGGGAAATGCCACCTCCCTGGCCCTGCACTGTAGCCTCCCATTGACCTGGCCCTGCCTGCTTTCTTCCTGTATCTTATGCTCCCCGTACCTCAAGCCATTTGCCTTTCCCATTCCTGTCCTCCGGGTTGCCATTTTGGGCAGGGGAGAGGCTGGTCCAGGCCTGGGGCGGAAGCACTGGGGCATTTGTCCTGTCTCTCCCACCCCTGCCTTCTCCAGCCGCCTGTGCCGTGCCCACCCTACGCTGAAGGCCATTGAGATGTTCCACTTCCGGGGCCCCTCCCAGGTCGGGGACCGCCTAGTGCTCAAGGCCATCGTGAACAACGCCTTCAAACATAGGTAAGAAGTGGGACCAGGGCCCCCTGGGATTGAGGGCTCTTCCTGACCCAATTGCAAAGCTGCCAGGAACCCTTTCCCCTGCAGATGAGGCCCATGAGGTCTAAACCCTGCCCAGCTGCAGGGCGCCTTCACCGTGACCGAGATGCAGCTCTGCCCTTCCCTCCTCTGGGCTCCCCAGCCCCGTGGCTCCTGTGGTCTCAGAGCAGACCCTATGCTCGGCGTGTCTCTGTCTCTCTTCCCGTCTCCTGCCTCTGGGTCTGGCGCACTGTGCGTGCTCACATCATAGGGCCCCCTCTTGTCAGTGTTCCATCATTTATCAAATCCTTCCCTTTCTCCTAAAACAACAATTCGTTCCCGGAGCCCTTAATTTGGAATGAAACCTAATACCTCCGAGAAAGCTTACTTTAAATATGTATCTTTGTTGGTGATTTCAAAGATCATAATGTAATTGTTAAAAGTGAGGGAGCCAAGGGGCACCTGGGTGGCTCAGTCCATTAAGCGTCTGCCTTCGGCTCAGGTCATGATCCCAGGGTCCTGGGATTGAGCCCCACGTTGGGCTCCCTGCTCGGCAGGGAGTGTGCTTCTCCCTCTCCCTCTGCCCTTCCCCCTGTTCATGTTCTCTCTCTCAAATAAATAAATAAAATCTTTAAAAAGAAAAGTGAGGGAACCAGGCTCCCTGGGTTCAAGTTTGGCTCACCTTTTACTGGGTGTGTGGCTTTAGGCAAGTTCCTCAACATCTCTGAGTTTCAGGGTTTTTTTTTTTATAGCTGTACACTTTATTTGTTTATTTATTTCAGGGAGAGAGAGAGAGAGAGAGAGCCTGCGAACAGGGGTGGGGGTCAGGGGAGGACCAGAGGCAGAGGGAGAGAGAGAATCACAAGCAGGCTCCGCGGTCAGTATGCAGTCCCACACGGGGCTCCATCCCACGACCCTGAGATCATGACCTGAGCCAAAATCAAGAGTCAGACGCTCAACTGACTGAGCCACCCAGGCGTCCCACTCGAGCTTCAGCTCTTTTGCCCGTAAAATGGGGCTCACCACAACAACATCATAGTTGTGAGGATTCAGTGAGGTCTTACTGGTAGCCTGCCAGGGAAACTGTGCAGTGCAGGATTATTATTACTGTTATGGTCATCACTCAGTCTGCCGCTGTGCGGGGGGAAGGGAGGGGACGCCCTGAACTAGGAACTGCAAGGCCCCCCTTCCAGCTCGGCTTCCCTTCCTGGCTGCTGTGTGACCTTGGCCCAGTGACTGTCCTGTTCTAGGTCTTTGTTCCCCCTCCACAGAACGTCCACATGCTGGGATCATAGAGCTTCCTAAGCGAGGGGGGTGGGTGAGGGTGGCTGCTTTTTATAATTCATGAAGATGGATATATAGAAATAGCAGCAACTGAGCTGTCAGGAGCACGGCTGTTAGAGCTTTGTGAAGATGTGTGTAAGGGACATTTTTCCAAGTAGGCTCTGCACCCCCACCTTCATGCTCATGTCCTTCCAGAATCCTTTGCAGTTTACATTGCATATTATATACATATATGTACACATATGTGTATATTCTTATGTGTACATATTATATACATATATTACATATTATATATACATATATATGTACATACGTGTGTGTGTGTATACACACTTCCTTATTGCCCCATTCCCTAGCTGTTAGCCCATGAGCTCATGGACCGACCCAGTTTATTCACTTCTGTGCACCCAGTGACTAGCATAGGGCCAGACATGTAGTGGGTGCTCTGTAAACACTGATGAAAGGGAACAGTTCTGGGTTTCCTACCAGAGGGATTCTGATCCGGGCTGCTGGGAGAGCTGCAGGAGTGTGCGTGTGTGCTGGGGAGTGGGCACGGGCTCAGGAAGGCCCGTCCAGCATGGGAGCGGCCGTCCCTCTCCTTCAGCATGGAGGTGGGCGTGTGCGTGGAGGCTTACCGCCAGGAGGCTGAGACCCATCGGCGGCACATCAACAGTGCCTTCATGACCTTCGTGGTCCTGGACGCGGATGAGCAGCCTCGGACACTGCCCTGGATTCGGCCCCAGCCTGGGGTGAGTGGCACCCTGCCCCCCCACCAGCTCCCCTCCCTCCCTGCCCAGGGGTGGTGGGGCCTGCTAGCCCCTGACACAGCCGGGGAGTGACGGGCTCAGCCCTGCTCCTCTGTCGGGGCACAGCCAGCTCGCAGTGCCCCATGACCCCCAGAGATGCCCCTTGTGCTAGGCAGGCACCTTGGTCTGCCTGGAAGAACTCGGCCCGTGTATGGGTCTAGCTCAGTTAGGTGCCTCCTAGGGGGGAGAATTGGCTGGGAAAAGCCCGCATTCCGCAGCTGGGCGTTGGCGGGGACGGGGTTGGGGGAGGGGGGGCCTCCGACAGACGAGGGGCGGTGAACAGTCCACAAGGGCCTCTCAGCCTGTGCCGGTTAATGTTCATGAGTGGGGAGACATCAGAAGCATTGGTTAAGAGGGTGGGACCCGGGTCAGGCCGTCAGGGTTCTGTTCCTGGCCCCACTCCTTACCCCTGCGACCTTGGGTAGGCCACTCACCTTTCTGTGCCTCGGTTTTCCTCCTCTGTAAAATGGGGCTCATATGAGTACCAACTTGAGAGGGTTGTAGCGAGGCTTGACATTCTGCACGGAGGGCACTTTAGAAGAGTGCCTGGTAGCAGCAAGGGCCCAGGAAATGTGGGTTCTTACTAGCACTGTCTGTGCAGAGGAGGATGTCGAGGTCCAGCGAGGGCAGGTGGTGTTCCCAGAGTCACTCAGAGAGTCTGGGGGAAGCTGGGGCTGGAGCTCAGAGACTCGGCCCTTTCCTGTCTGAGCGGCTTTGCCTCAGGCTACCCCCATGAGACCTGAGCTCCACATCAGGGCTTCAGGGCCTCCTCGGGCCTTGGGGGGCAGACGGTAACACGGGAGTGGGAGTGGGGAGCAGGGCACAGCAGCTCGCCTGGCCCGCACCACAGTCTGTCCCTGCGTCTCTCCCCAGGATGGCGAGCGGCGTTACCGAGAGGCTAGTGCCAGGAAGAAGATCCGACTGGACAGGCGAGTGCGGGTTGGGTGATGGGAGGGGACACGGGTTCAGGGCTGTCCACCTGCTCCCCAGGCCCCAGGGACCACCATTTCTTCAGTGCCATCCCTGGGTTGGGCACTGGGCTGGGCCCTTTACTTCCACGCAGCCTCTCTACCCGGGGGTCTTCCTGGCCCCTTATCCAGGTGAGGACACTGAGCACAGAGGGATGAGGCAGCCATGGGCACACAGATACAGGAATGATGGGCAGAGTGCAAATTTGAACCTGGTGGGGTCCGGCCACTTCTGAATCCTGGGTTCCTTCCGTTGACCCTGATGTGTGTTGGGCAGACGAAGAAAGGTCCCTAGAGAAGAGGCAGTTGCTCAAGACACACAGCTGGGTGTGACCCATTGCTGCCGAAGCACTTTCCAGAGCGGAAAGTGCTGGAAGTACACTGAGGTTTGCTCTCTCCGGAGCACTTATCATAGGCCGACCCCCATCCTCATGACGACCCCACGAGGCAGATGCAACACCCAATCCCACTGTTGAGAAGAGGCCGCTGAGGCACCGGGGCGAAACTGCTTTAGCCAGAGTCAACCGCTCAGGGAGGGCGTGGGGACCGAGCCTTCCCCCGGCACCCTGCCCCTGGCCTTGCTCTGCTTCTGAATGAGTTTGTATGTTCTCAGCTCCCATTTTCTGGGTGCCCAGCCCGTCTCCATGGCCAGACAGGAGTCCCTCCCCCACTGCTGGGCTGAGCACCCGGAGCGAAATCTTCTGAAAGACCTGGGCTCCCCAGGGACCATGGTTGTCCTCTTCCCTCTCCCAGGAAGTACATCGTGTCCTGTAAACAGGGAGAAATGCCCCTCTCTGTCCCCTGGGACCCTAGCAACCAGGTAAGGCCTTCTGCTCTGAGGGGACAGCCCACCGGCCCATGTTGGGACCGGGGAGGGGGTACCCTGACTCTGCATTCTTGTCAGAATGGGTTTGGGAATAGGCCTAAAGGGGACAGGATACTGTGTCATGACTCAAGATTAGTACAGTTAGCAAGGGGCTTTCCTCGGTCCCTGTTTGGCAGGAGGGAGCTGAGGCCCCGAGATGAGCATCACATAGCAAGTCTGCCCGAGGCAGGGCCTCCTGTCCCAAAGCCCAGGGCCCGGCCCCACCCCCTTTCACAGCCCAGTGTCCTCTCCCCCGGTCCAGCGTGGCCTGGCCCAGAGCCCCTGAGGAAGGGGAGAAGGTGAGGCTTCTCTGTGTGTTCTGGTCCAGGTGTACCTGAGCTACAACAATGTCTCCTCCCTGAAGATGCTCGTGGCCAAGGACAACTGGGTGCTGTCTTCGGAGGTCAACCAGGTAGCTGACCCCACCCAGCAGCAGAGGTGGCTGATCTCAAGCAACAGAAGTTCTCTCAACCACTCATGTCAAAAGGGGATTTCTTTTTTTAAAATATTTTATTTATTTATTTGAGAGAGAGAGAGAGTAGGTTGAGAGAGAGCGAGCACATGAGTGGGGATGAGGGGCAGAGGGAGAGGGAGAAGCTCCCACAGGACCTGGAGTGGAGAACCCCCAAATCCTTCTCTCCTGCCCACCCACCATCTGGCCCCCAACCCCTCATCTCTACTGTTCTCTGCCCTGCTGCTTCCTCCCTGCAGAGCTAGGGCCAATGGACAAGCCTGGGTTGAGGGAAGACATGAGCTCTGCCTGTGCCCTGGGGAGAGTCACTTCCCCCACCTGTGACATTAGGGGCTTTAACAGGCGCCTGGCTCTGAGGACCCATTCCATTGTTGCCTTAGTCACTGCTTCCTACTGCACCCTCCTGTCCCCCTGCGCTGAATTCTCTCAGCAGCCCCTTTTCATGGGGATGGGACTGAGGCTCAGAGAGTTTGAGTCACTTTTTCACAGTCATACAGCAAGTCAGTGGCAGCCCGGAGCTGCCAGCCGCGGGCCTCCAGCATCTGAGTCAGCCCAGTCCATCACCCGGCATGGCCTGGGGACGGGGCATGACACGAGGCTGCCCTCCGTCCCCTGCAGGTCCGCCTGTACACTCTGGAGGAAGACAAATTCCTCTCCTTCCACATGGAGATGTCAGTGCACGTGGATACCACCCAGGCCTTCCTGCTGCTCTCGGACCTGCTTCGGAGGCCCGAGTGGGACAAGCACTACCGGTGAGGGCCAAGGTGCCAACGGGGCAGGGTGCTTCGCTCAGGTCTGGTGGGGAAGCTGGGCCCTCAGGTGTCCCTTGCTGAGCATCCCCCATTATGCTCAGCCCCTCCTAGCCGGCTAAAGCCGGGCATGGGGGGGAGGGTGGTGTGGGGGTAATTGTAGTTATGTGTTGGGTCGGTGTCAGAGTCAAGGGCATTCTGAGCCCTCAGGGAAGGGACTGAGCCTGGAGTTGGAGTTGGAGCCTGGGTTTAGGTCCTGTTTCTAGGGGCACCTGGGTGGCTCAGTCATTGTCTGCCTTCAGCTCAGGTCATGATCTCAGGGTCCTGGGATCGAGCCCCACATTGGGCTCCCTGCTCCGCGGGAAGCCTGCTTCTCCCTCTCCCACTCTCCCTGCTTGTGTTCCCTCTCTCGCTGTGTCTCTCTGTCAAATAAATAAAATCTTAAAAAAAAAAAAAAAAAAGCCCTGTTTCTGACCCAACTGGCTTTGTGACCTTGGGCAAGTCCCTTCCTCTCTAGGCCTATTTTCCTCCTCTTAAAATGGGTACTTGAGGTGTAGGTCATGCATTTGCACTCTGGGATAGAGCAGTGATTTTCTTTCTTTTTTTTCTTTTAAATCTCCCCTTTTTGTTTTTTCTTTTAAATTTCCCCTTTTTTTATTTTTTATTTTATTTGAGAGCGAGAGAGAGAGAGAGAGAGCACAAGCGGGGGGAGGGACAGAGGCAGAGGGAGAAGCAGGCTTCCCACTGAGCGGGGAGCCTGATGTGGGACTCAATCCCAGGATCCTGGGATCATGACCCGAGCCAAAGGCAGACGCTTAACCGACTGAGCCACCCAGGCACCCCTAGATCAGTGATTTTCAAACCATGTTCTGTGGAGTTCTGTGTCCCCACAGGAAGCTCAGGGACCACTTGGTGGGGGTTAGAAGGCTGAGGGGGCAGGTGGGCCCCCTCCCAGCTTCAAGGGAACTAATGGGACGGCCAGTTTGATGAATTCACCCAGTTTGCCAGCTCTTCTTAGGGATATGTGCGTGTATATGTTATTTTTGAATGTAGTGAGTTACTGAATATAAATGTTATTCCTAGGAATACGTTTGTTCCCCGAATTTACTGATTCTCCATGTGAATATTTTCTTCCTGAATTTAGCCAAGGAAGATATATCTGTTCTTAGGAAAACAAGCCAAAATTTCAGTATTTAATATGAGAATGTTAAAGTTGAACCTGGTATTTTTTCAAATTCCTTTAAAGTCATTTTCTGTTGCGCCAACACCTTACTTCGGTCATTTCTCCCGTGGCTGCTTTACGAGGAGCCTATATTCCCAAGTATATCCATAAGGAGGGTCTGTGTGTATGGAAGTTCAGTGAGCAGGTTGTCTGGCGAGTTGAGTTTTGACAAATTGCCTTCCCCTTCCTACCCCCCATCTATCTTACCAGAGTGGGCCTACTTGTGGTTGTTTTTACACAGGCTTTCTGTTTAAGATTTGGTGCATAAAAGGCTATTGCTTTAAAAAGCCTTGGTCAGGGAATGCCTGGGTGGCTCAGTCGGTTAAGTGTCTGCCTTTGGCTCAGGTCATGATCCCAGGGTCCTGGGATTGAGCCCCCCATCTGGCTCTTTGCTCAGCAAGGAGTCTGCTTCTCCCTCTTCCTCTGCCTCTCCCCCCACTTATGCTGTCTGTCTCTCAAATAAATGAATAAAATCTTAAAAAAAAAAAAAAAGTAAAAAGCCTTGGTCTAGGTGACCCCAAGCCTATTGGTAGTGACATTCTACAAAGCTGGGAGGTAATTTGGTGGTGGATGTTGGGGGCGTTGGGCCTATGGTAGGAAGGCTTCTTGGAGGAGCCAAGCTGCTGTGGGCCTTGAAGGCTAAGTCAGATCTCCATACTTGATGGGATTGGAGCGGGGGAGTGTCCCAAGGGGAAAGGGAGCCCTTAGCTGTTTCCCCCCACCCTGCCCATAGCACCCTGTTCATGAGGCAGCCTCTGAGGGTGGGTGGGAGAGCAGGAAAGGTGGTGGCAGCGTCGGACGTGGTCATACGTGTTTCTGTGCATGCGTGTGTATTGGTGTAAGCCCGTGTGTGTGTACCTGGACACATATGTGCAGTGTGCCTGGGCCTGAGGGGCAGAGCTCTGGCCCCCGACAGTCTGGGCACATCCCAGCTCTGCTTCCTTAATGCCTATGGATCTGTACAATGGGGATGCTGAGAGGCCCTATTGCATCTGCTGCTGTGGGATTAAATGAGAGAGTACGTGGAAAGCACTTGGAACAGTGCCTGGCACACGGCAGCTGCTCCTACCCAGTAAACTGCCACACATCTGTGTGGGGCTGTGTATGCATTGGTGGGTATCTACGTGAGTCTGTGTGTGCTCACAGGCGTGCCTTTGTGCTTATCTTTGGTCCCGTGTCTGTTTGCATTTGCGTGTGTACGTGTCTATGTGTGTTCCCGTGTGTTCATGCGTGCTTGGCCTGGGCTTCCTGCCCTCCTATGGCCCCTGCTGAGCAGGGTAGGGGGTAAAGTGTCCCCCAGACATCTGCTCAAGAAGGCTGAAGCGTGGGAGGGCCTGGGCCAGACTGGCTGGCACAGAAGGAGCCCGAGTCCTGACCTCTGGGCCTCCCCATAGGAGCGTGGAGCTAGTGCAGCAGGTGGATGAGGACGATGCCATCTACCATGTCATCAGCCCTGTCCTTGGTGGCGATACCAAGCCCCAGGACTTTGTGATCCTGGCCTCTCGGCGGAAACCTTGTGACAACGGGTAGGTGCCGGCCTGCGGAGGCGGGAGGTGGGCAGGAGGGGTCATCAGCTTAGACTCAGAGCTCTGTTTGCTGTGTGGGACTCCAGGCACCGCTTGGCTTTTAGGGGCTGCCCTGGCCTTGCTGTGGGTAAAATGGAGGACGAGGGGACACATCTTGCCTCTGGTCACGTGTGCCCTAAGGCAGGGTGGTCTCCGTCCCTGGGGTGGCAAGGCTGCCTCACCCCAGGCATGGCAGGCCCTTGCTCACGTGGCCACCTCCTTGGCCTCCACCCTCTGAAGTCCCCACGTTGACTGAAGAGGGATAAGGCCGCCAGCTCGCCAGGACGCACCGTATCACTTCTGCTGGAGACAAGCACAGAAAAGTGAAGCATGAAATCCCAAAGCGTGAGACTCCTTTGAGCATCTGCAGTGGAGGGGCTTTTCCAGAAAATCTGCAATGAAACCACGCTGGCTCCTGGCAAATTCAGGGCTGCTAACGCACAAGCACGTCCTCTCTCTAGCCTGGCCCAGAGCCAGCTGTCGGGCCTTTTAAGAGTTTATGTGCCTCAGAGTCTGGTGAGGGGGTCTGTGCGGAGGAGGCTCCGGGGCCTGAACTGGGTGGAAGCAGGCCCTCACCTTCTCCTCCTGTGCCCTTGTCCGCCCTTGCTCGTTTCCAGGGACCCCTATGTCATCGCGATGCGGTCAGTTACGCTGCCCACACACCCCGAGACGCCAGCATATAGGCGCGGGGAGACCCTCTGCTCGGGTTTCTGCTTCTGGAGAGAGGGGGACCAGCTGACCAAGGTGAGGCCGGTGTTCCCTTACCACCCTCCCAGGTCCCCCCAAAGCCACATGCATGTCCAGAACTCTGTGCTGCGGGCTCAACTCCATACCTGGGCCCCACCTGCAGGCTCTCTTCTAGCTCGGGGGAGCCTAAGAGTGTTAGGGGCTGAAGACATAAGATCTGTGCAGAGATAAGACAGTAGGGTTTTGGAAAAAGCTCTGGATGCTGAGGGCAGAGGCCTGGGTTCTGACCTAAAATTCATCTCTTTACTTGTATACCTCTCTCGTCTGGGAAGGCTTTATATGGCTCTCAGGGCCCATAAAACTCAGCAGGGCAGTCAGTGCTAATTGAAACTGTGCGGGAGGAGGCCGAGTGGGGGGGGGGGTTTACTGCAGCTCCCCGCCTCAGGGCCCAGGTAGGGATGAGGCTGGTGTTCGCTAACTTACAATACACTTACCTCGGACTTCTCAGCACAGTCCCCGAGCTTATTTCTAACTTGCTTCCATGACCATTTGTACATGCTGGGCTGTGGAGACCCAGCCGTCCTCCAGAACCTCCCCCAACTGAACTGTGTGTGGTGACTGAGGGAAGCGGGGTTGTCAGCCCCCAGAAGACGGGTCACACCACGTCATCTTCTAGGGCCCCAGGGTGCTGGCTTGGATCTGCTGCCCTTCCCACCTGGCTCATGCCCGCGGGCTCCCCGCCCCCTCCCCCTGCCCGGATCCCTGAATGTGGCTTCCTTCCCATCCTGCAGGTGTCCTACTACAACCAGGCTACCCCGGGCTTTCTCAACTACGTGACCACCAACGTGGCGGGTCTCTCCTCAGAGTTCTACACCACCTTCAAGGCTTGTGAGCAGTTCCTGTTGGACAACCGGAACGATCTGGCCCCCAGCCTGCAGACCCTCTAAGCCCCCGGCAGTGGCCACTGCACACCCACTCCCCCTCCATCCTGCCCCCAGGGACACACATGCAGCGCACTGAGGCAGGCAGGGGCATTTATTCCTTGCTGCCTCCCCCGTGGGAAGCCTGGAGCCAGGGGCCCACCGGCCCAGCACCCATGGGTGCTCAGTTCCCTCCAGCATCTGCCAGCAAGTCTTCGCGGTAACTCGGGGGCAGCCGGTAGTAGACTCGGGTCCTGTCCACAGCCCTGGCTCCCAGCAGCCCCGCCCGCACCGATGCATAGTCGTCCCCCTCAGGACGGTGCTCCACCGTGACAGTGGCCCGGGGGGAGGCCGCCAACAGCCTGGCCACCACCCCAGCTGGGTTCGGGCCCAAGAGCCTGGCCTGCAGCTGGAAGGACACAGGTTGCCAGAGACCCCGGCACAGCTCCAGCATATCCGCAAGCAGCTGGTCCCTGTAGCCACCACCCAGCGCCTCCTCAGGCCAGCCTGGTGCCACCGTCACGTGGGGGAACACCTCAGCCACAGTTGTCAGCAGCTCCCTGCCGGCCACGTGGCCAGGGGCCGCAAAGCTGCCATGGGAGACTGTGGCCCCGATCCACACAGGCCGAGGCAGGTGGCCCAGGGCAGACAGGCGGGCCAGTGTGGTCAGGGCCGGCCGGAGGGCTGAGGGCTCTGCTATGAGCAGATGGACACCCCAGCGCCCGGGCCGCCCGGCCAGCTGCAGGAGGCAGGACTCCAGCGTCGGGGCGGGACCTCCCGGGGCGCGTATGACGGGCACGGCGTCCTTGGCTGCAGGCCCCTGGAGGCCAACGGTCAGCAGGATCATGCCTTCTCCGTCTGAAAGAGGCAGTGGACGGAGGCGGCGAAGTGTCAGGAGTTCGGGTGATGGTGGGCTGTCAGAGGCCCTGTTAAAGGGGTGGCAATGGGGGGGGGGCAGCCAAGGAGAAGCTGGTGCCCCGTCTGCTGAGATCTGTCGAGGGTCCGGGCTCCAGGTGGAAAGGCTGCTTTATAAATGTGCCTGGGGCTCATCCGACCACCTGAACGACATGATCAGCTGCTAGCTCGGCTCTTGGCCTTTGACTGGGGCTTGGTCCTGGGGCCTGGGCCTGCCTCTCCTGCAGTAGATAGGGCTCAGGGCTCAAGGGCACTGACGGTTAGGGGCCCCTGCCCGATACCACTGCACTCGGCCACCATGGCGTCCAGCACATTGCCGCAGTAACAGAGGCCTTAGCTTCCTGCCCCGAGCAAAGGAATCCCCCCTCTTCCCCCCCAGTTTAGCTAGGAGCACAGGGGCTGAAGGCAGGCCTTACCTGGGAGGCTGACTGTTGCTGTTCTTCTGTTGCCCTGGAGGTCAGGAACCAGCCACTCCACGCTCAGACCGTCCCCCCCAGGGGGCTGGAGGAGAGGGATCAGGCTGCCTCCCGTGTAGTAAATGCGCTTCCGTGTGGCATTCGCTGTGGGGCCCCAAATTGTCAAGATGCACTGGCCACCATTCACAGAGCCCCTTCTCTGAGTCCTGTGTCTACACACAGTCTCTCTCAGACTCACAGCACCCTTCCAGGCAGACGTACTCCCATCAGAGATTACAAGGAGGGATTCCCCAAGGTCCCACAGCCACCCGGGGTTAGAACCTGATGCAACCAAGTCTGCCAGCCCCAAAGCTGGAACCCCCTCTCCCCGCACCGGCATGGCTCCCATGGTAGGAATGTTGAGTCTCATGGGTTCCCTTTGAGATGGCTTAACTGCAGGCTCTCCTAGGTCCAGGGTCAAGGGAATGAGGGGTCTGGACAAGCAAACGGGTAGTATCTGGGTCTTTGATTACTAGGTACATTGGTGTGTGTGTGGGGGGGGCGGTCTCTGAGGAACTATGCTGTAAGGGAAACGCACATGGGGTTTGGAATTTGCTGGGTTCCAATCTAAGCTGTGCTATGTACAAGGGAATGACTTGGTGTAGGTTATTTTACTGGTCTGAACCTCAGTTTCCCTATCTATAGAATGGAATCACTGCTTCCTGGATATTTGAGGCTTACATAGCATACCATACCCACGTCTGGCATACAGTAGGCGCTTAAAAGCATTCTTTGACCCGATTCCACCCAGAATTTTCCCTTCTGATGCCTCACCCCTCCAGCTCTGCTCCACTGTCCACCAAATGCTGCCCGCAGAATCCGCCCTACCAGCTTCCCTGGCCGCCCCACACCCCTCCTACCGGCCAGTCGCTTGAACTGTGACAGGACAGGCTCAAAGAGGTCATAGTAGACTTGGTGGGAAGCGCTGTTGTCTCGGACATAGAGGAGATCATCCACCGACACGGGGTCCAAGGCACCCTGCCACAGCGTCAGGCTGTACCTGGGGCCCAGAGACCAAGCTCAGCACCTGCCTGGGCCCAACAAGGTCCTCAGTCCCACTCTTGTGCTCAGAACGGGACCCTAGCTGGGCAGGGATAGAGTACCTGGCCTCCAGCTTCCCACCAGCCCCTTCTCCCTGAGAACTGCCCCCCTTCCCAAGGGCAGAAGAAGTCACAGGGGCTTCAGGAAGGAAGAGTAAAGAGGCTGAGCAGGAGGGGCTGGCCCGCCCTGCCTCCTCACTGGGAGTATCTATTTCTGGTCCTGTCTTAGGAACAGGAACAGGACAAGGACAGAAAGCGATGGGTACAGGCAGTGGGGAAGAAGTTAGGTGTGGAGGGGGAAGGGGACAGCCCTGGAACTCCTGTGGGAAGTGGCCGAGGAAGGTGGGACTGGGCAGTTGGGAGTCCCTCAATCCCTAGAAGATGATCCTGGGCACAGCTGGCTCCCATGGGAGGAAGACTTGCCACTAGGTCAAGTTATCCACTAATGGACTGGCTGCCTTGGGTGGTAGTGAGCAGCCCATCACCAGAGGTATACAAGCAGAGAGCAGGGATGCTGTAGAGGATGTGAGCACCAGTGGGTATTGGACAGATATGGTTAAGTGGCTGGGATCTCCCCAGGGAGTAACAGTGCCCGGGGGGTGGGTCTGGTGGATCAGGGGCTGTGGCAGGGGCCTGGGAGTTTTCACCTCTTCGATTGGCCCAGCAGCCAGCTGAAGTGGGGCCAGGCAGCCCGTACCATGACAGCCCGCACGGGGAAGGTGACCCTCTGTGGCAGTGTGCCCACCAGCTCCTGCATCCTCTCCACCATGGCTCGGGTGTATGTCCTGTTCAGGAACAGGGGCACATAGAGGGTGGTCCAGCCTGGAGACAGGGTGGCCTCAGGATACTTCTCCTGGACCAAGGCCAGGAACCTGTGGAGAATCAGAGACACTGGTCTTTGAGAGCCTTGCTGGCGCCTTCCTCATCTCCTGGGTTCCCATCACTGGGCTAGGAAGTGGCAAGTCCTGTTAAATGTAGAGTATAAGGACCGAAGCTGAGTCCTAAAGAACAGAAGTGACTTAAGGTCCTACAAATGGGGCATGGACTTTGGAGTCAGGGGGTTCTGGGTTCAGGTCCTGGACTCTATAACCTTGGGCAGCTCAATTCAACCTCTTTGATTCTCAAAGATGTCATCCCTTCTGGTAGGGCAGGGCCTCTTCAGCATCCCCATTTGGACAGGGGAGACAAGCCAGGGCCCCAGATAGGGGGATCTAGACTCTGCCACTTGTCTCTGAAGCTTCAGATTTTTAAATTCCATGTAAATTTTCCCTTGAAAGAAACTTTAACAGAGGAATAATATTACCCTCTCCTCCTCCCCAAACTATTGAGTAAAATCAACACTCTAAGAAGATGAACCATTATTTATCTTGGGCCACTGATTACGTATTTTTCTTTCTTTTTTTTTTTTAAAGATTTTATTTATTTGAGAGAGAGAATGAGAGCATGAGAGGGGGGAGGGTCAGAGGGAGCAGCAGACCCCCTGCCGAGCAGGGAGCCCGATGCGGGACTCGATCCCGGGACTCCAGGATCATGACCTGAGCCGAAGGCAGTTGCTTAACCAACTGAGCCACCCAGGTGCCCTGATTACGTATTTTTCTAATGGCTGCTTTCCAAATGCACCTCAGTTTGAGAATCACAATAAATACTGGATGGATGGATGGAGAGATGGATGACTAGAATCAGGAAGGCCTGGCTTTGAATCTTTGCAATTTTTAGACCTAGGCCAGTCGTGTAACCTCGATGAGATAGTTCCTGTATTAATAAAATGAAAATATAATAATACCTACCTCATTCTCTTGATAACTAAAGTACTTTCTGAAACAGTGCCTGGGCACATAATAAACATTCAATAAATTGAATCTCGATTACTATCAGCTTTCTCTTCTGCAACATGGGGGGAGATGCTCCCAACCCGGCACTGCTAGGTAAGGGTCAAATTGGACACACTTTGTCCTTCTGTGTGGCCCTTCGTCTGTTGTTATGTGCAGCTGGTCTATGTGGAGGGTATTGGTGGCAGTGCTGGGATTTCAGGGGGGGCGGGGGAAGGAGTTAGCACTTTTAGACTTTTCTCTAGCAGGTCAAGCCCTGCCTTGGTCACTGGGGATACAGAAAGGACTGGGCCCTGTCTGCCTTCCAGGAGTCCACTGTGGAGTAGGGGCTATAAACCGGTAATCTGGCAGTGATAGCCCAGTGAAATCAGGGTTGTGTTAGGAGGACGTGTTGAAGGCTCTCAGCAGCCTGGGATGTCAGGGTAGATTTGGGAGGAGGTAACGACTGGGCAAAGGTTCATCAGGAAATTTGGGCAAGGCATTCAAGGCAAAGGGAACAGCATGTGCAAAGGCTCAGAGGTCAGGTTATATGGTATGGCTGGAGGTAAACTCAGCAAAGGTGCCCCGAGCAGTTTCTGTGCCAGATGGTGAAGGAAGAGAGCTGGACACAGCTGGGGCAGAGAAGTGAACACTCACCGTGTGGCATTGACCTCGATTGAGATGGGCACACTGGGGCCCCTCAGGATGTCCGCATTGATCCACACAGGCCTCCTCACTCTCCCGTCCTCTGTCAGCCGCTGCAGGAGGTCCAGCGAGGGGCCCACAGCCTTGAGGCTCTTGAAGTCCAGTTTGATACCTGTGGGGAGGGGCCCAAGGGCTTGGGGAAATGGACTCTCATGCTCAGGGCAGAAGGAACCAGCAGACACGACTTCCTGGAACAGAGAGAGCAGTGGGGTTGGGGGCAGGAGGTGGGCAGACAGGGACCAGACTCCATCTGGGTGTGAAGAGGGCTTTCAAACAAGCCAAGCCACCCACAGAGGAAGGACCTGCCCCTGCCCCTGCCCCTGGGGGGAGAAAGCTGGGGCCAGCCAAGGGCTCAGACAGGGGTTGTCAAGCATCGGAGAAAAAGAGACTGTGGTTCTTGGACAGGGTAGGCTTAGAGCATCCTAAGCCAACTTAGCCTGAGTGCAAGTTCCTCAGCCTGCAGAAAGAGGCATTTGAGTAGAGGAGGGCCATGGAAGTGGAGGAGGGGCCCCTGTGAACAAAAGCCTGTCCTATTCAGGCAGCTGGGCGCTGGGAGTGAATGGCGACGAGGGGAACTGCAGGCGGATGAGGTTGTGAAGTTGGAGACGGCTGTTGAAAGCCAGGCCAAGCAGATGACACTTTGTCCCAGGAAAATGGGGAGCCATGCAGGGCCAAAGAGGGGAGTGACAGATTTGGTGTTTGTGGAAAGCTCACTCAGATGTACATGGTGGTAGTGGTGGTGGAGGGAAGACAGAGCGGCTGAGTCTGGGGGCAGGACATGGTGAATGACAGAGGGGGAGGCAGGAGGGTGATGCCTAGATTCTGACCAAAACTGGCAAAGGGACCCGGGAGGGAAGGGCGGAGTTGGGCTTTGAACAGGTTATACCTAGTTCCGGAGGATTCAGGAGGGAACAATCTGAACGTGTCTGCACTTTGTGGTGTACCCTGCCCTTTCCCATCCCCCACCTCACCCAGAATTCCCTAGGCCTGGGTGTCTTGAACCTGGGGGGCGGGGGGGAGCGGGGGAAGCCTGGGCAATGAGCAGTGAGCCTGGGACTGGCCTGGCTTCAGCAGAGGACCAGAGGGCTGGGGAGGGGCTGAGAGAGTCCTTACCCTTCTGGGAAGAGGCCAGCACAGCCTCCAGCCACTGCTGCAGCGTGTTGTCACTGTAGATGGCTGGGGGGTGCGCCATGATGGGGACCCCTGTCTCGTTGGCTGTGTTGAGTCCTTCTACGGTGATGTCTGCTTCCAGGACCATGGCGCTACCTGAGCAAGAGGCAGAACTTGGTCACTTCCTTTGAAAATTTGAAAATTTTTCTTCTTATCCAAGTATTACACATTTATCAAAGAACATTTGGAGAATACAGAAAAGCAGGAAGAATACTCATCCACATTTCCAGCATAGTTCACATTTTGTATGTATTTTCTTCCGTTTTTGTCTATGTACGGTTTTCTATGCAGTTGAGACCACACTGCATTTGTAATTTTTAATCCTTTTCTTTCAATGGCATTTTCACAATCTTCTATGTCTCATTTTTTTTAGAGGCTATAAAAGCTCTGGTTGAGGGTCATTAGCTACCTCTTATTCCTGAGACAGTTTGGTAGTTTCCAATTCTTTGCTACTCAAATGATAACACAGTTTATCCTGGTGTTTGAATTATTTCTAGTCCCTACTTGTGGCGTTTGAGTTAGGGCCACATGGGGTCATTTTTAAAGCCCACATTATCCAATTACCGTCCAGAAAAATTGTTCTGATTCATGTTCCCGCCTGAAGTACATAAGCTTGCCCACTTCCCTGCACCTTTATAGCACTGAGCCTTGTTATTTTAATTTTTAAATTTCTAAAACCCTGTCCTCCAGAGTTCGGTCTAGGAGGGAGCTAAGCCCTTCCCAATGGAAGCAGACTTGGAAGACTCTGCCAGGGCCACTGGCATTTGGGGTGTGCAGTGGAGGGAGGGGAAGGAGGGAGGCAGGGATCACGTTCGACTCTGCAACATCATAGACCCTTGGCATCAGAAGGGGCCTTTTCTCCTGGTTTATACTCACAACCTCCTGACCTCTCATCTCTAGCCCTGCTCCCCTGGAAGTCCATTCTCTACACGGCAACTAGAGTTTTCTAAACATACACCTGCTCAGGTCACTTTCTGTTAAAAAACAAAACGGCCCACCCATTGCCCTTAGACTCAAACCCCAATTCCTTAGCATAGCCTCTGCGGTCCCGCTTGACCCAGCCCTGACAAAATTTCCAATCTCACCCGAGTGCCTCTCTCCCTCCATCTCTAGGTTCCAGCCCCTCCAGCTTCTGCAACATTACTGTGCACACAAATCAGCCAGGAGCTGTTAAAATTCAAGCTCCTATCAGTAGGTCAGGGGTGGGGCCGAGGTTCTGCGCATCTCACGGCTCCCCAGCTATGCCCAAGCTGCTGGGCCTTGGACTGCACTTCTAGTGAGGCTTGAGTTTGTTCTGTCCTCCCATCTCTGGGCTCTTACTCCTGGTTGTTGCCTTGGCAACTCTCCCCTCCGCAGCTTTACTAGGCTACCTTCTGCTCATCTGTTAGTGTTTGGCTTAAAATATCACTTCCTCAGGGAGGCCATGCCTGAACCCCATGCCCAGTCTGACTTAGTCATCCGCTTCGGGGCTACTCTTTTTGAGTGCTTAGCCCCATGTAATTGCTCACTTAGCATCAGCCTTCCTGAGTATAGGTACCAGGGTGCAGGGTCTGGGTCTGAATTGACCATCACTTAAATTTCTGGTGCCTAGATGGTATCAGGCCTGAAAAAGGAGTTTTAAAAATGGTTGTTGAATGATGAACACCTGAATGACTTAATGATAGAAAAGTCAAGCTCAGTAAGCCTAGGTCCACAAAGGTAAGAAAGAGCTTGGCCAAAGTCAGAGAATTTTTGCAGATTTCTCTAAAATCTAGGTGCCTGGATTTCTAGGAGGGGTAGAAGGTGAGTGCCGGGATGTCCCTGGCAGTGAGTCAGGCATTTCCCATCATCCCGTTTCCTCCAAATGTTGTGGATGCTGCTTCTAGGGCATGGGACTCCCAGGTTTCCTCATTGGCAAGGTGGGGATGAGCCCCCCTGGGCCATGGAAACAGGACATGAACATAAAAACACGTTGTTAAACCATTAAGGGCTTTATGAAGGCAACCTTCATTTTTGGACTTGAGCACAAAGTTCTTTCTCATCTTAATTTATGGTTACTTGGGAATGCAGAGAGGGGGGTCTGAAAGGCTTGGGCCCCAGTGAGGCCCACAGAAGCCAGGCTGGAACCCGGGTGGGGTGCAGGTAAGAGGGTAGCTCCTGAGAATGGATGCATCGGAGTCTCCTTCCCATCCAATGGGGGGGCCAGTTCCAGTCTTGGCGGGGTGGGGGTGCATCGAGAGCCCTCTTTGAGTCCCGGTGACCTCCTGATGCTGCTGCCTTGCTTAACTTGCACTAGCCAACCTCCCTGAAGACATTGAGTTCCTTTGAGACAAGGTCACATCTCACTCATTTCTAAACCCTTCTCCTGAGATCGACCCAGAGCAGGGACCCAGTGAAGTGAATTGGACTGAAGACCAGCAGAAAGTACATTCTGGACTTAACCTGCCTCCTTGCAATTGCCACCTAGGCCCAGCTTGTTCCTGGAAAAGTCTTCTCTCTTATTGTGGAAAGTTGTTACTTGCCTTCCAGATGCTGAATCTGAAGGTTGACATGTTTGGGTGGGGTGTGAGGGACGGACAAGCAAGGAGGGAAGGATCCATTTCCTGCGGCCCCAGAAGGGGAGGAGGGCTGGCCCCCCAGGGAAAAGATAGGAAGTTATGGAGCCCCCCGCCCCCCAACATGGGGCAGGCCCCTGAACCCAGATTGCAGGCATGAGCACTAGGACAAACAGCGATCGGTGTTACTCGGGCAGGGTACTCGTCTTCTCTGTGCCTCCTCTTTCTCATTTACAAGAATTAAATAATAAGATAGCCCTGGTTAGGCATTCACTAAGTGTTAATCATTATTTACATGCAGTAGGCTCACTTAACTAGAGTCGCCGTATCCTCCCCCCGCCCCCTGCCGCCCTTCCCTTTGCCTGGGAGAGTCTGGTGTATTTCTGTACGCTCAGCATTATTTAGTTTGGATGATAAATGATACGGGAATTCTACCAATCCACATTTGGCAGAGGGAAAAACTGAACTGTGGACAGGTGAAGTCACCTGTCCCAAATCACTGTGCCACTGAAGAGCCAAGGTAGGATTTGAACCCAGTTCTGTCTGCCTCCCAGATCTTCGCTTTGGCCCCTTCTCTCCACGTGGAAGTCCGTTCATGTCCAAGATGACTTCACCAGTCTGGCCCTGCCCCTGGGTCTCACCTAGGGTCCCCACCCCAGCTGTGCACCTCTTCCCAGAGGCCTACCGCAGGGACCCGGCAGAACCCTCAGGGAGGAAACTGGGCCTCTGGACCCCTGAGCTATGCTAAGGGGTATCCGTCCCTGCTCCCTGCTGTTGGGCACTGCCTGGTTGGGGCCATTGGCCTTCTTCTTGGCCAAGGTCCTTATGTCGTGGGGCTGGGTCTCTCGTCCACTACCCCAGGGCCGCCATCATCACTCTGAATCGGAGGCTCAGGGGCATTTTCCAATTTGCTCAGCTTTTCTGCTCGTTTTTGATAGCACTGGGCCTCAAAGTCACGTCTGCTGGCTTCCACAGGCTTGGGGGGCAAGGACCTCCGAGCAGGCACAGCTGGCCGTCACGGAAGGGGTAGCTGGGGCAGAGGACATCAGACATCTGGGTCGAACCCTAATGCCGCCACATACGTCATGCTGTCTCATCTCCACCTCTGCCCTCCCCCATCTCCTGCACCCCTGCCCTGGCCTGTCCCAGTCCTGGCAGACAGACTTACTGCTCAGGGCAGCTTTCATCTCCTCCCGGCTGTTGGCAGCGTGGTACCAGGTGACCAGCAGACCATCCGGTTGGCTGATCTGGCCCAGGCTCTGCAGGTAGTCCAGCATGTCCGCGTCGGGGCGGCAGGCCGCATCCTGCTCCAAGTCTGGAATGGAAGCCAAGCGAGCTGTTAGCCTCAATTCTCACCTCTGCCCAAGATTCCCGTCTGTTCATCCCTCTGACCCTCCCTGGGCTCCCAGGGTGTGTCCAGCTCTCCATCTAGCAGAGGGACAGGGGGACCCCAGAGCCATCAAGTGCTACGAGAAATACATGGGCTCCTGGGCACAAGGAGCCCCCATACCAGCCTGGGCAGTCGGGAAGTTTACAGACAGAGGAGGGAACATTTAAGGGGGCTTTGAGGATGGGTGTAAATTTGACAGAGAAGGGGGACAGAGAGAACAGTATCAGCAAAGGCTGGGCTGAAGGACAGAGTGTGGTCACCTGGAGGAACAGCCACTGGCCGGTACAGATGGCCTGAGACATGGAGAGGGCAGGCCTGGAAAGGGGTGTTGTGATCAGGCTGTAAACAGCCATGAACGCCAGCAAAGGGGTTGGCTGTGTGCTGAGGGCAAGGCGGGCTTGTGTTTAGCAAGATCTCATGGGCTGCAGAGTGAGCACTGGCTGGGAGAGTAGGCTGCAGACAAGAGACTGTGTGCAGGGAAACCGCAGCAGGGGTCAAGGACACCAGAGGCCTGGGAGCTCGGGGTCAGGGAGGGCAGAGGGTGGGAAGGCAGAAGCCTCAAGATGCCAGGCCCGAGGGTACAGACACAAGGCAGAGCAGGGAGTGGAGGCTGCCCCCAGGTTTCTGTGGGAAGGGAGGGGCCCTTCACCCAAAGAGGGCACAGGGAGGAGCGGGTGTGGGGGAAAGATGAATTGAGCTTAGTGTGCTGAGTCTGAGATGCCCACAGGACCCCCCAAAAGGTCCATTCAGGGGCACGGGAGGGAGGTGTGGGCTGAAGGCAACAAGCCTGGTGGAGGCGGGGGGGAAGTTGATGGGGATAGAGTCGGCTGGGGATGGAGTCTTAGTGGAGATGCGGGATGGGAGAGGAGGCCATCAGAGCTGTCCGTGGGGAAGCCAACCAGACGGCATGACAGGGGGCCCTACCCGGCTGGCTGCGCGGCGACAGTACGAAGCTCAGGATCAGTCCAATGGCGACCACCAGAACCACGCTGGCACTGCCCAGAAGGGCCCACTTGGTCTGACTGTTCGAGCACCCCTTCTTGCAGGCCATGATGATCCTCTCTGCGGAATGCCTCCCAAGTCCCCACGGCCCAGAGGCCCCCAAGGCTCCCTGTAGCTGGGATCCGGTGGGACGCGGGAGCCCCGTGTAGCATCCAGGTCTCCACCAAGGCCCTAGCTCCGGCGGGCCAGAAATGTCTCCTGAGGAGGTAGCCCCTGAGGCTCCTCCTCCCTCCCTCCCCACCCTCCTCCCGGCTCCACACCCTTCGAGGATCTTAATAAATCAAGCAGAAAGTCCTACCGCCTCCAAAATGACCTTTGAGCACACCAAAGGGCCAGAAAATGTTGGACCAAGCGTCTGTCTGCTGCCTGTCTCTGCTGCCTGGGAGTTGGGAGACCAGGACC